AAAATCTTTAAAAAAAAAAAAAAAAGGATGGTCTTCGTCAGAAAGGTCTAGCAAACCGCCCTGCTGCCTCCCCTGGGGCAGCAGGGGCCTGCTGGCATGTGTGGATGGGGCCAGACCCTAGACCCCGGGAAGGGCGTGATGGATCAGGCCGACAAGACTGAGCCCAGGGCAAGCCCTGGAACGCCGGCTTTTACGTCAAATGCTGCAGCTCTTCACTAAAGCACCCACCTTCACGGCTCGCCTGGCTCTTGGCCCTCTCTTACAAAAGGGAAACAGGAGTAACACATTTTGCATACTTAAACATCTTGAGTGAAGCACGACTGTCCTTGGGTTTTGTCCGGGGCAAGGCAGAGGAATGGTCTGGTTCTCAAAGCTGTGCTCAGATACCGGCCACTCCCCCCTGTAACCAGATGAAAGTGGCTTTCCAGAAAATCCTGTAATAAAATCAGTGCCTCTTTACTGTGGGGAAAAAAACCGAACATATAAATAAACAGAACAAAATACAATACCTGTTTTATGCAGTATCTTATTACTCATTCTTCCCATTTAAGAGTTCAGGAGCATCTGTCTATGTGATTAAATACTCAGCAGCAGGGTGGCTGGAGGGCCAAGCAAGACCTGGCGGCACCCGGAGTGGCTGGATGCTTGCCTGAGATGTCGCACCAGCCGCTTGCCACCAGCCTGCTGATTGGCTACTTCGGGAGGAAGGAAGAAGTTTCTAGCAAGCCAAATTCTGATGGTCCTGGATTGGGCCATTCAGAGCAGTGAGCACCCCAGTCGGAAGCTCCCCTTTCTGAAAGTCCTCTCACGGGCCATGAGGCACAGATGGGTGCTGGCCTTGGCTCTGCAGGCGTGGGCCTGGAGTCTGTGGCTCTCCGGTGGAAGAGGAGGGTCCCCGGTGACTTTCCTGGAGCCTCATCCTGCACAAGTCTCATGCAAGGAGTTACAACTTCCGAGGCCCTTTATCAAGTCCTGGATTTGGATTTACCAAGTAGCTCTGAGTTCATGGGCAGGTCATGCTCTAGGCGGCAGGAGCACCCGGTCTCTGAAGACGTGGACACCTGTGCCTCCCTCGGGAGTCCAGACTGGGCACGGGGTGAGACATGATGTATGTCGGAGAGCCACAGAGCCCCGCGGTCCCCACGAGGGGGTGGGAGGGTGACTCTCTCTCGTCCCTGGGTGTAGGTGGTGGGAAGGCACGGGATTGTTCCCGGTGTCTGCAGCGAGCAGAGTCCAACCCCCGGCTCCTCCAGCCTCCTTCCAGCAAGCAGGGGCAGAGTCCTCCCTCACCCCCACCAGCTCCGTGGAGGAAGAATGCTGACTTTTCATTCGTCCTCTCAGTTATTTCTCCCCCAGGATCACACATATGAGTGACCCAAGGGCTGGGTGAAACCCAGTGAATGCTGCATGAGGCGGTAGTTTGGGATGTGGTTAGTTTTATCTGTTCACAGGGAGATACCAGACTCAGCACGAGAAAGATGACCCTTGTTGGTAGAATTGGGGTCCCGGCCTTGTCAGGTGTCAGCTGTTCGACTTGTTGGAAGCCCCTGATCCCAGCTGGGCCATCTCTACCCACCGACCAGGATCCGCTGTCCCAGAAGCTTCCCGGAGTAATGCTGGCCTGCCTCCTGCTGTGACCTTCTTGCTCCAAACCTCACTGATCCACTTTCAATTCCTGAGAAATCCAATTTCAAGGAAAGCAGATACATTCTTCCTGGAATACCTTTTTTTGAACATTTAGGAATAACCCCAGACAACCTCTTCGCGCTTCACATCTGTTCTGGTGATCCTCTGTCAACGGTTGCTTCACAGAAACGATTTTCTCAATGGGTTGCTGCCCCTTAGATCTTGCTGACTGATAACCCCAGTTAGATGAAAGCCTTATTTTTTTCATCCTTTTCCCCCAGAGCCAGCGTCACCTGGCCAGAGCGGGTGTCGCCTGCCCACAGCCTCATTTGGCTACCGCGGGAGGCGGCCATCCAGAGAAGCCATGGGAGTGGATTTACGGAAGAGAAAGAGGGCCTCCCCTCCACCCATGCTCTGGGCCGGGTGGGCACTCGGCCATCGGCGCTGACCGCAGAATCCCTTCTTTCCCCGATCTGAGGACTCTGTTCCTTACCTCCTGGCTGGGGCCACTCAGCAGCTGCCTGCGGAGGGAGCGGTGGACCGCCGACTGGCACCAGCTAATTCCGACCCGTACTGGCTCCTGGTCCAAAGCTGGGTAACATCGACCTTGCCCCCCACGCCTGCTGTGGGCTCGCTGGGAGTTCGTAGAGGAGTGCCGTTGTCTCCACGTTTCCAAATAAAAACATCGAAAACCTCTTTGGGTCATTTCTGAATCAGATGTTTCTGCCTGGCTTCCAAGGGACACTGACCACCCTCATTCTTTAGATCGCTACAGCGATCTCTACAGAGATCTGCACCCTCCTCTCGGTCTAGATCTCTGTGGGTGGCGCCGGCCCACAGAACCCCTCCCCGCAGTTGAGGAGGAACGCAAGGATGGCAGTCAGGCTTCTCTTTGCCCAGCTGCGACAGGTGGGCAGGGCGGGCGCGGCGGAAGGAGAGGAAGCCTGGTGAGGGCCTCCCCATCTGAGCAGTGGCAAGGGCTGATGAGGCACTTGGGAGGCGGTGGCGCTGAGCGTGCTGGGATGGGCCTTCTCTGGGCCTTGTGGTCACATGGAGAACAAAGCCCAATAAAATATTTTGTCCACAGTCTGGTTTCCAGAATGGTTTCATTATTCTGAATTTTCTCTCTCACTAGAACCACATGGGAAGGCCACTGCTCTTTGGCTGTGCTGTGGCATGTGTCCATGATGCCACTCTCCCTTCTGTGCCAACGACAGGTGTCCCTAATCAGTCATAGAGCCTTTTCCTGACGCGCTGAATGCCACTTGAGAATCCCCAGCGGAGGGCCCTGGGCAGCCACCAGCAGCCAGCAGAACTGGCATAGATTAATTGCCATTCTTAGCTTAAATCCCAGTGGGGAAAATATCCTTAGATTCTTTTCCTTTCCCCTTTGAGACTGTTTTCCTTGATTTCTCTGTTCCCTCCTGCTGCAGTACCAAAAAAAAAAAAAAAAAAATCAGTCACCAGAGGCCTCCCTCAGCTCATGAACTGCAGAATCACCACTTGGTGGCAGCAGAGGTCAACGGAACCATCCAGAGATGTGAGCTGGTAGCTCGTGACCAGGGTCCTCCGTGGTGAGAGTATCTGAGCCCCATGACACTTCTCTTCCTGTTTTCGGGATCTCACCATCTACCTTATTGTTGTCCTTATACTTCTCTGTGGTGGAACGAACCTCAGACGAGAGAGAATTCCGCCTTGCGTTCCAGTCCAGGCTATCCTCAGCTACCTTCGTGAGCTTAGCAAACTTTGGCCCACTCTGGGCCTCAGTTTTCTCATCTGTAAAATGGGGTATTTAACAATGGGTCTCCATTATTTACCTATTAGGGCTTTAGTAAGAATCAAATGCAAACGTGGTTTTGTAAACTATAAAGTAAAAAAGCAGGAGTTTGAGAAGGCAGGGGAGGGGATCACTTATGTGATTTTTCTGGTTTCTTGTTTTGACCTCCTTTCCTCTCTGTGAGTCTGTGTTGTTTGCAACACAGGGTGGCTGCTGTGGTGTTCCTTGGACCTTGTCTTTACAGGTGAAACCCCAAGAACTACAGGTGCCTGGGCCCTAGGCCTTTGGACCTCCAAATGGACATGCAGTGAACACGCTCGGGGTAGGGTGGATACGGATACTGATGTGGTTCTTCTGATGCCTGGGATGTCTGATGAATCACGGATGCAAGCCCTTCAGGATGCTGACTTCTAGTGCCCCTTGCTGCCAGGCTGACATCAAAGAAAGGCTTTCCAATAAACATTTGATCCAGCAGAGAAGCCCAGCCCATGAGTACCTGGGAGCTAGAAGAACCATCCAGAGAATCGCTGCTTCTCTCCCATGGCTAAGAGTGGGGAGGGGCCAACATGCTCTGAGACTAGTCACCCCTGCCAGGCGTAGGACCCGTCCGCAGTTACTGTGCCTCCTGCGTCCCAGCAGCACGGACCAGCTAGGCCTGTGGGTCCACACCCATACGTCCTGGACACACCCCTGCATCCTACCTGTGTGTTGAGCCCAGCACCTGGCACTCACCACATGCTTCACGGGTGTCTGCTGAATGAGTCCACGATACCCTCAGGGGTACAACAAAGAAATAAAGCCTTTTAAATTTTTTCTTTAAGTTTAGTTTTTTTCAGGCCTCCATTCCGTCTGATGACAGTAAAAAGTAATTTTGCCGCTTCGTGGTAAAACTCCAGAAACTTCAAGTCAGGCAGTTCAGGATTTTCTCCTTCTCCTCCCTCTCCTGGGGATGACTTTGGGGGGGGGCTTGGGGTACAGGGAGAGGTTCCTGGCTCTTGGGAGGTGCTCCATCCTATGCCGGCATCCTTCCCATCTCGTCCTGGGGCACAGCCTTCCCTCCGTGGGGACTCCTGTGGAAGCATCTTTATTCCTGTCTGGTCGTGGCCACGCGGTCCATGCACAGCCATATCTGCCCAGCCCCGGGCCCTGCTCTGTCCTCTGGGAAAGCCTTGGCTTCTCCATCAGAACTACTCAGGGGCCTACATCAAGCGCATCTTTGGGACTCCCTGTGCCACACCATGTGCTAATGGCAGGAGGTGTTATCGTGTCAGACTGCTGTCTTCCAGGACAAGCAATCCAGAAGCCCTCCATTCTCACCCCTGGTCCTCACCCCTGCCCGGAGTCCTGCCAGGACCGGTGTCTGCTGTCATCCTCTCCTCTCCAACGTCCGTCTGATACTCGTGGGTGATAAAAGCACTCAACAAACAGAAGAGAAGGGAATTTTCTCAACCTGATA